CACAATGTCTGGCATTAAGTGTGAAAGAAATGGGCACTATCACGCTAATACTGCCATGACAACTTCTACCGGTTTCTCCTCCACTCCAGCCCCTCCTGGTTCGAGTCTCCTTCAGCGCTCTGCTTTCTCTTTTCCCCCTGCAGGCACCCTCTTCTGTTGTATGGTCTACTATTTGTTTGCAGGATCATCTCCCCCTCCAGAGTCAGATGCCTCTGGAGCCAGGACTACCCAGGGTTGAATCCCACTCGGCCACTCATTCGCTGTGTACACGTGGGCAAGAAACTTCACCCCCATGCCTTCATCTCTGCAGGATGGGCACGATCGTTGGTTCATGTTTAATAGGGTCCGAGTGGGAATTGCAAGAGTTAGCATGTCCCGTGCTTACATTCATGCTGATGCATGGGAGGGTTAGGAGTCCTTACTATGGGATCAGGTGAATCCTCAGAAGCAAGATGCTGTCTCTCAGGGTGCATCCCGTGGCACCTGCATCTCCTGGGTGCTCTCTGAAGGTTGGCCGATAAGGCACGAAGGGTATATTGCAAGACCCGTGGCATGCAGGACTGCATGGACGGAAAACGGGACGTGGCTGGCGCCGTGGACTAGCCCGCCGGGTTCTGGAGCCGCCTCTCCACCCTTGCAAGCCTTCTCACAGCATCTGTGCCTGAAGCTGGGGGACTGCTGTGGATGCAGAAGAAATCACAGAAAGCCTAGTAAGTGAGTCCAGTGTTTGAGCAACTGGCTTATTGTAGAGACAGAAACTGAGGCAAGAGTAAGCCGAGCAGCGGTGGGGGCCGTCATGGCCACAGACTGGGGTGGAGGGGTGTCAAGTGAAGGTGAAAAGTCACAGACATTTTTTAAAAAAGATTTTTATTTATTTATTTGAGAGAGAGAGAAAATGAGTGTGGGGGAGGGGCAGAGGGAGAGGGAGAAACAGACTCCCCGCTGAGCAGGGATCGCGCCACGGGACTCAATCCCAGGATCTCAGGATCATAACCTGAGCCAAAGGCAGGTGCTTAGCTGACTGAGCCACCCAGGCGCCCCCAAAAGTCACAGACTTATTTGCATTATCTGCTTTGGGACTGCGAAGGCGCTGGGAGAGGAGAGAGGGAGGAAGGCACGGATGGCTCCATTTCCCCTGCTGAGGTCCTCGGCATCCCTGCCCCCTTTCCCTCACCTCCCCCAAACCTTGCACCCCATATGCATTCCTGAGTAGATTGACAGGGCGGGAGACCATGCCATCAAAGAGAGGAGATGGTACATTCTGGTACATCTGAGATCCCTCCTAGGCTCCCACTAGTTAAATGGCCAAAGGCAGTTCAAGTAGAAGAGCAGAGTGGCTCCCACCTTCCTGGGCCCCTCCTATTTGGGTCTAAGAAACCCCTTTTTATACAATGAATCCTCTAGTATTGTGCTTCAATTTGGTGAAGACTTTGGAGTACTTTTCTCCCAGAAAGGGAGGTGAGCACATGAATGCTAACAGGCAGCCGATACTGGAGGCAGGCTGTATTTATGTAAATGAACTCAGCCAGCGAGGTAACTGGTGGTTTGGGGGGATTTTTTTTCTGCATCAGTGGTTTCGATTCTAAACAGTTTACAGTGCGGAAATCTCAAGTGAGTTGGTTCAGTAACACCGCAGCTCTGTCAAGAGCAAAGTGGACTGAGATTCACTTAACGGTTTGCAAGATCTAGCCTCCTTTTTCGAAGCTAAAATCCACCACTGGAAGTCAACACACATCAACAGGAAGCTGCCCTGCGCCAGTGCGTGAGTTCCGCGGGTTTCTCTGCGCTGGCTTCCGGGGAGCGCACGTTCCTTTCTGCCCCTGGACGTGGTCTCTTCTCCTCGGCGCACCAACCCTCCCGGCGGCCGGCCCTTCTCCCCGGCTGAGCACCCTCCTGATGGCCCGCGCCAGCTCTCTGCGTCCCGGGAGCCTGGGCGCGTTCTTTCCGAGCAGTCAAGTCCGCCAGCAGGAGCGAAGCGCACCCCTCGGGGGGGGGGGGGGGGGAGCCTCTGGGGCATTGTGCACGTTTGAGTGTGAGAAGGCCTCCTCTTTTCCGTCTGTGCTCGGTAAGAAAGCTGGGGCTGATGAACGCTGCGGGACATGTGCTTCCCTCCGGCGGCGGGGCACCAGCTGACCCCACAGAGCTGACCGTGATCTTCTAGCGGGGCAGGTCAGCATTTGAGTATGAGTAGCAACCTTGGGGACGGAGAGTCCCCACACAGCTCTCTGCGCCTGATCTCTCAAGTCCCAAGACTCTGGAGGCTGCCATGTGGCTTGAGCAATCCTCTTCCCACCACCCAGAGAAATAGGTGTGTAACACCACAGGAGCCTGCCCCATGCAGGATCATTGCTAGTCTCTCCATGTCCCTTGTATTAGGATTCTCCAGAGAAACAGAATTAATGTAGCCTTGGAGAAATGGTGTACCTTAATCCCTGTAATTTATATTATTTTGTAACTGGAAGTTTATAGTCCTGAGCCCCTTCACCCATTTCACCCACCCCCCAACTCCCCTCCCTTGTGGCAACCACCGATCTGTTCTCTGTATCTGTGAGTGTTGTTTTATTTGTCTGCTTTGTTTTCGTAGAGTCTACATGGAAGTGAAATCATATGGTATTTGTCTTTCTCTGTCTGACTTATTTTACTTAGCATAATATCCTGGCAGTCCCTCCATGTTGTTGCAAATGACAAGGTCTCATTCTTTTTTTGGCTGAGTAATAGTTGTATTGACTATACCACATCCTCTTTATCCACGCATCTATGGATGGACACTTGAGTTGCTTCCGTGTCTTGGCTATTGCAAATAATGCTGCAATGAATATTAGGGTGTATATATCTTTTTGAATTAATGTTTTCATTTTGTTTGGGTAAATATCCAGTAGTGGAATTACTGGAATATATGGTAATTCTATTTTTAATTTTTTGAGGAAACTCCGTACTGTTTCCACAGTGGGTGCACCAGTTTGTATTCTCACCAACAGTGCAGGAGGGCTCCCTTTTCTCCACATCCTCCCAATACTTGTTATTTGGTTTGGTTTGTTTTTTGCTTTTGTTTTGTTTTGTTTTTTATTCTAGCCATTCTGACAGGTGTAAGGTGATATCTCACTGTGGTTTTGACTTGCATTTCCCTGATGATGAGAGATGTTGAGCATCTATCTTTTCACGTGTCTACCATTTATATGTCTTCTTTGGAAAAACATCTACTCAGGTCTCTCGCCCATTTTAAATTGGATTATTTGTATTTTTGGCGTTGAGTTGTATATGTTCTTTTCATATATTTTGGTTATTTTGGTTATTAACCCTTTATTGGATACGTCATTTGTGAATATCTTCTCCCATTCAGTAGGTTGCCTTTTCATTTTGTTGATGGTTTCTTTCACTGTGCAAAAGCTTTTTATTTTGATGTAGTCCCAAATAGTTTATTCTTACTCTTATTTTCCTTACTTTTCCATTTTCTTAAGGGTAATTTTTGAGGTTTACTTTTTCTCTTGGGGGGGGTGAGGAGTAGAGGGAGAGGGAGACAGAGAATCTTAAGCAGGCTCCACGCCCAGCGTGGAGCCCAACGTGGGTCTCGATTTCAAGGTGCTGAGATCATAACCTGACCCGAAATCAAGAGTTGGACACTTAACCAACTGAGCCACCCAGGTGCCCCAAGGTACAAATTTTTTTAAATGTAAAATCTGCCAAAATTTTCCTTTGTGGTTTTTGCCTCTACAAACTTATAAAGATCTTCCCAAACCTGAGAGATCTAATTTTTTCTTTTCTTTCAGAGAGAGCATACGTAATGACACATATGGTAAGAACTCTGCATTAACTGTCAGGAGACCTCCGTTCTAGTCACTGGTATGTTGCACAATAATGCATAGCCAAACTATTATGTCAGTTATTTATTTATTTATTTATTTATTTTAAAGATTTTATTTATTTGACAGAGAGAGACGCAGTGAGAGAGGGAACACAAGCAGGGGGAGTGGGAGAGGGAGAAGCAGGCTTCCCGCGGAGCAGGGAACCCGATGCAGGGCTCGATCCCAGGACCCTGGGATCATGACCTGAGCCAAAGGCAGATGCTTAACGACTGAGCCACCCAGGCGCCCCCCATCAGTTATTTTTAAAAAGACTGTTAATATCTTTAACTCTAATTTTATATTTATTTTTCTCTTTTGTACTTCTAACTTTTGCTTCGTGTGTTTTGCAGTTCTTTGATAGATGTGTACACATTTAGGAACATTATGTCTTCTTGTCAAAGTGACTCTTTTATCATTATAAAATGTTCTTATTTAAATAATCCTTGTTTTGAAGTCTACTTTGTCTACTATGAAGATAGTCATTCCAGTTCTTTTATGACTAGACTTTCATCAATATCTTTCCCCATCCTTTTACTTTTTGCCTGTATGTGTTTTTATACTTAAAAGTACATTTTTTTCCTAGACAACACAGTTGGGTCCAATCTGATAATTTCTGCCTTCTAATTGGAGCATTTAGTCTATTTATACTTAATGTTTACTTGGAGTGTTATTCCATCTTTTAATGTAATTGTTGCTATAGTTGGCTTTATGTCCATTGTCTAGTTATTCATTTTTATTTATCCCATCTATCTTTATTTTTCTCTTTCCCTGCCTTTAAATTAGTCAAATATTTTTAGGTATTCCACTTTATATCCTCTGTTGGCTTTCTAACTATGCCTCTTTGTTTTGTTTATTTTTGTTCTTGGCCCCAGAACCTAGGGATACCATATACATTCTTAACCTATCAATGTACTTTGAATTAATACACTTCTTCACGTATGAGAACCTTACAGCAGTGCACACTCCCATTTATCCCTCTCCTCACTTTTGTGCTATTCCCTTTGGCCTGAAGAACTTCTTTTAACCTTTCTTATATTGCAGGACTTTGTATTCTATTTTTATTTGTTTTCTTGTTGTATTTGTTTTTCTAGAAGTACATTTATTTCACCTTCATTTTTAAAAGGAAAAAAAAATTGCTAGGTAAAGAATTCTAGGTTGTTTGCTCACTTCAGCAGCAGAATATACTAAAATTGGAACAATACAGAGATTAGCACAGCCCCTGAAGAAGGATGACACGCAAATTTGTGGAGTGTTCCATATTAAAAAAAAAAAAGAATTCTGGGTTGACTTTTTTTTTTTCTTTTCTCTAAGCACAGGTTGGCTTTGTTTCCCATGAGAAACCAGCAGTTTTTGTTATCACTATTTTGCTGTATGTACTGTGTCTTCTTTCTTTTTTTTTAAAGATTTTATTTATTTATTTGACAGAGAGAGACACAGCAAGAGAGGGAACACAAGCAGGGGGAGTGGGAGAGGGAGAAGCAGGCTTCCCGCCAAACAGGGAGCCCGATGAGGGGCTCGATCCCAGGACTCTGGGATCACGACCTGAGCTGAAGGCAGACGCTTAACGACTGAGCCATCCAGGCGCCCCTCTTTCTTTAGATACAGTTAAGAATTTCTCTTTCATTTGCAGCAGCTTGGTGATGATATGTCTAAGTGTAGTTGTAGTTTTCTGTGTGCTTATCTTCTTTGGGATTTGTTGAGCTTTTTGTGTCTGTGGGTTGATAGTTTCCTTAAATTTGGAAAAAGAAAATAACCATTATTTCTTTGATTGTATTTTTTTTACCCCAGGGTCTTTCTTTTCTCCTTGTTGCACTCCAATTACATATTTGAGAGACTGCTTAATATTGTTTCACTGAGGGGTGCCTGGGTGGCTCAGTCGGTTAAGTGGCTATCTTCGGCTCACGTCATGATCCCAGTGTCCTGGGATTGAGTCTTGCTCAGTGGGGAGCCTGCTTCTCCCTCTGCCTCTGCCTGCCGCTCCCCCTGCTTGTGCTCACTCTCTGTCAAATAAATAAATAAAGTCTTTTAAAAAAAATATTGTTTCACTGAGATTCTGTTTATGTTCTTAATGTTTTTCTTCTATGTTCTTCAGTTTTGATAGTGACATGTCTTCATGTTCACTGATTTTCCTCCTGCAGTGTTACAGCTACTATTAGCCCATTCGGTGACTTTTTCATTTCAAATATTATATTTTTCAGTTCTAGAATCTTCATTTTTTTAAAGTAAGCTCCACGCCCAGCATGGAGCCCAACACAGGGCTTGAACTCATAACCCTGAGATTGAGACCTTAGCTGAGATCAAGAGTCAGATGCTTAACTGACTGATCCACCCAGGCAACCTTCTTCATTTGTTTTTTAAAAAGTTGTTTCCATTTTTCTTACTGACTCCTCATCTGTTCACTCATTATGTACCTCTTTTTCTTATAATAGCTGTTTTAAAATTCCCATTTGCTAATTCCAACATCTGTGTCATTTCTGAGTCTGTTTATATTGACTAATTCTTCTTCTGATTACATGTCATATTTCATAGTTCTTTGTGTAGTTATTTTTGAGGTTGTGCTGGGCATTGTGGATGTAACATTGTTGAAAGTCTGGATTTGTTTTCTTTCTTTAAAGAGTGCTGCATTTTGTCCTGGCAGGCAATTTATTCATGAGCAGATCATCTCGATCTTTTCAGGACTTGGTTTGGGCCTTATACAGTAGCTCTTTCTCTTGACCTCATATAGTTCATTCCCTTTTTTAGTTATTGCTGAATGCTTTCAGTGTTTAATGAGGTCTCTCCATTTTGAATGGTCAAATCTGTAATGTCTCTCAGCACTGAGTGACCTCCAGAATCTTTATTCATCTCACACCTCTTTATATGTTTTCTCTAAATGACACTGGTGGGACTTTAAAAACACAGGAAATGTAAAATTAGTTGGGAAAGAACATATAAGCTTAAACCCAGAGACATAGTAAAATTCACATGTCGCATGTATCTCTGAGTGTCTAGAGCCAGGGTTTCATGCCAGTTTTGATCCTTGAGGTCTTTTCATCACTTTCTCTTTTCTTTTTCCTTAGTTGTCTCCTTGGGGTCACACTAAGGAAACTAGCTTTCACTAATAAAAGTCCAACCCTGATCTGCCAAGATTAATAACAAAGGGAGAGTCTCCATGGGAGGGGTGGCTTGGCCTTGTAGATTTCCATTCCCCTTAGGGTCCTTTTACTTGTTTACACTGCTAGACTGTGTTGGTTTTATGGGAAGTTACTGCTTCTCATTCTACCAAGCAGGTACTTTTGCCTATTATCTTCATATCCCCAGAGTGTGGCTGAGAGTGGGCTGGATTTTAAAGAAGACTTTATCTAAGCCTAGAGAAGATTAAGAAAAAAAATGTAAACAGAGAGAGTAACATGAAAATGAATTTTCTGGATTACAAAATATGACCTATTCTTTTTTAAGTATTTATTTATTTGAGAGAGAGTGAGCATGAGAGAGTGCAAGCGGGGAGGGGCAGAGGGAGAGGGAGAGAAGCAGGCTCCCCACTGAGCATGGAGCCTGACGCAGGGCTCATTCTCACAAGCCTGAGATCACGACCTGAGCTAAAATCAAGAGCTACACGCTTAACTGACTGAGCCACCCTGGCGCCCCATGACCTATTCTTATTTATCTCACATGCTTCTCTGCCCAGCTCCTGGAGCATCTTCTTTGGTGTGAAAAGAGCCCTTCTGTGACCCTATCCTATAAAAACATGAGCAGAGGAGCAACCCTAGATGCTTTAATATACCTTCAAATTGAACGACACCCCACAACTCCTAAATACCCAAGTCTCACCCCAGCATAAATCCTGCTTTTTAACATTCTGTATGAAGACAGTGTAAATGTTCCATCCTCTCTTATATGTGCAATAGAACAGATGTGTAGGGTAGGACTACAATAGGACAATTAACAGAACACCACAGACCTGGTTTTCCTGGCTTTCAGAAACAGTCAATGACATTACTAGTCACATCTCTCTCACTGACTGTTGACCACATTGACCGTTGTGGCTACTCTGGCAACACTTAACAGTGTCACTAAGACCATTCACATCAAGACTAAATTTATCATTGTACCTCTCACATCTATCTGTTTCTCTAATGCTTCGCAGTGAGTTGTGAAGGGTCTATTTACTTAGCCTTTGGGAAAGTCCATGTCTTTGTGGAATACTAAAGTCTAAGGAAAATGTTTGGGAGACTGTTCTATCTGGAAATCAATAGTCTTTCTAATTTTCCTTCAAAACTTTTCCTATGCTCTACTTAGCTCACAGTTATCTTTACAGCCAAATGCTTACATGTATTCATCCTTCCTTTGGGGTGCATAAATACATCATTCTGAACTCTGACTCTAAGGAAGCTAATTCTTAGGTCAGCAGGTCAGGCATCCTACATTGTGCCCAGTGTTGTACAATGACAGTGAGGGAAAACTACCAAGATGCTTACTCTTCTATTATTATTCAATGAAACTAGGCAGGCATTTCTCTCTCCAGAAAAGGGTCAGAAGAAGAGTTGTGGCTGGGGTGGAGGCTATCCTAGAATTAAGCAAGTTAGCAAGTGTCCTGGAAATCCCTCATTCCCATTAGGACACCCACTCTACAGCCATTGAGTCAAGATTTGGGGGGTGGAACGTCTTTTTTTTTAGGGTTGGAACTTCTAAAAGCTTTGCTGGTGATTCTAATATGCAGCCAAGGGGTGAGAATGCTGCCTTTTTTTTTTTTTTTCCCTCCTTTGGGCAAAAAGTTCAAAGGTGATTGTATTTTCCTTATGGGGAGTGATACATGCAGGTAGTCCTCAAACTTCAACAAGCATCAGAATCACCTGGAGGGTGTGTCAAAACACAGATTGCTAGGGCCCACTCCCTGAATTTCTGACTCCGTTGGCCTAGGGTGGGGCCATTACCAACAAGTTCCCAGGTGCTGCAGATGCAGCTGGGTTGGGCCCACACAGGATGAACCACTGCTTTATGCAAATGAAGCATTTCTGTCCTTGTCACTGTATTTGTCCTCACCCCAGGAAGAGATGAGTCCCTCCTTCTGAGGTGAGAGGAGCAAACCTGAAACAGAGCCCCCCCCCTTTTTTTTTAAAGAGTAAATGTATTTTTTATTTGAAAAAAAAATGCCTTTATATTTTACAAAAGCACATTTCCACCATGAATAACTTTAATCCCCATCTCTTGTCCAATGCATTCATTGATTTATTTGTGTGATAAATATTTATAAGGCTCCTGCCTTTGCCTGGCAGCCTTCTAGGATCTGGGATATTGCAGTGAACATCACAAAATCCTTCTCCTACAACAAGCTTTATTTTAGTGGAGGAGGGACAGTCAAAATCAAATAAATATATGCAAATATGGAAGGATTCAATAAATGCAGTGGTGAAAATGAAATAGAGCAATATGATAGAAGTTAGGGATTGAAACAGGGGGGAAGGGGCTACTGTAGTTTGGGTGGTCAAGAAGGATCTTCTGAAGAGGTGACACTCAGAGCCCCCATTTTAAACCATCTCGTGGTAATTAATGCAACAGCTTTCTTGTGGGGTTGGAAAAACTCTTGAGGAGCAGTCGCAGATCACCTGGCACATGACATCAGGAGCTCTGGGTTTTCCCTCCTCCCAACTCCATGGAGGACGAATCCCTGGTCTCAGTCTTTGGTGGGAGGAGAGAGCTGAAGGGTTGGTAGTCATAGGCTTAGGAATTCCATTGCTTTTCATGCTGTAAAGTGGGTCACAATCCCTTTATTTGCTCATTTCTCTGGACATGACTTTAAATTTTTAAAATATATTTTCGGGGCGCCTGGGTGGCTCAGTCGGTTGGGCGACTGCCTTCGGCTCAGGTCATGATCCTGGAGTCCC